AATTGTTCCTCCCTTGGCAGTCCCCGCGAGATTAACCCATCGAGTTGAGGCTTCGCACCCCTTCGTGGTCACTTTGGAGACCTGCAGAACATCTCTTCCCGAAGACTCGTTCATCCAACGAACAGCGAGGCTCTAGAACACATTGCCAAGGGAGGTGTTCCCCGAGGCATAATAACCTCCAGAAATTTAAGAAGTACACCAATTCCTACTTTATTTCCCTTGGTTCTCACTATGTTCTTTGAACATTACAGGATATCCCTTTTCGTGAGAACCAGAACATAAAAAAAAACAAAAATTTCCAATGGTGGCAAAAGTACGCAACCATCAGATGATTTCGTTGCATCACACTCTTATAATTTCTTCAATTCCTCGGTCTTTCTCTCTAACTACCATCATCTAGGACTTTATCAATATTAGATCATTGACTCTTTGGTCTGCAAAAAAAAACAAAGCCAACTTATCAAGAGCTCATGATTTTATTGTCAACATGTGTTTCTCGCTTCTTCTGAATTTGTGGATAATTCTATCCACCCTGTCAACCTGTCATAAACACTTATTCATAAAATAAGGCTTCTTCGTCATGAAGAACCCACTCTTCATCAATCGTTTCCAGAGTACCTTCGCAAATTTACATTCCATTGAACATCTCTGAGGATCTAATCATTATCTATGTCAAGCTTCTTGTGTAAAAGAGAAAAAAGAAACTTTTACTCGGTGTCACCTTAATAGGCACATTTAGAAACAAGGGTGACATTTTTCACGAAGCCACTTAACCTCAGAGGGGTCGTTGCAGCAAAAGAGCCCACTTCATTCTGCAGATCGATCAGATAATGACGAGCCGATGATGTTTTTTACACAAGAGTTCCGCTTCTCGTTAGGATACAAGTTGTTATACCTATTTCTCGTTGAACGGAACATTTATTAAATTTTTAAACGAGGAGATTATGATGGAATTTGATCGATGATATGTAGAGGTAACTTATCTTGAAGGGAAAATAAATGGTTGGTTCGGATAGCTTTCTAGCTCAACAGAAAACAGACCTCATCGATAAGCGGTGTAAAACGTGGTTATTTTTTTTTTGTATGTCATGAAAAATGGCTGAAAGAATAACTGGATTAGGATTCAATATTCGAAATGAGTTTATTCGAGTGAAGTCATATAACCTGTTTGTGAGAGTTATAATTCCGATATCACTGATACGAATGATTTTTTCGGAAGGTCCAAGCTCATCAAGATCACAGTTTATACAAGTATACTTCTCAATACATTTCAATTTTCATTTCAATATTGAACATATTGGTAAGTTATATTTTTATATCATAATACATCATTATTTTATCCGATTTGAGAGATGATGTCAATTCTCAATTTCAGAGGGTTTTCATTTTTCTTGCTCACTTTTTGGATGTTCTACAGATATAATTCAAAATTCAATAGTCGACGTGGCAAATAGCCAGGAGAGTAGTTGTTTCCTACTACTTCAGAGGATTTTATTCTCAAATGCTCATCGTGTGTGTTCAATAGATGTAATTCAATCTTCGTCGTGGCATATAGCCAGGAAAGTAGTTGTTTTCTGTTGATGAACCGAGGAAGAATCGATATTTTAATCACCTAGAGAATGCGAATTCTCAATGTATTCCTTTATATATATATAATTCATATATATCAATTTTTTATGTTCATAATTATATCTGAGAATATTCCTTTTCAATTCGTGGTTACTTTGCCAGAAATATCGGGTTTTTTCGCGAATAATTATTGAACGGTGAATGAAGTATGTTCAATTTTGGCTGAAACTTATTTATGCGACTAATAGATTCAATCTGAAGTAGATATGGAGAGAGTATTTTATTTTTGAATTTCGAAATTGGCAAAGTATCCACACATCTTGTGGTTAACTTGCCATGTGATGTAAAGTATGAATGAGATAGTACATTATACATCAAGGGACAGAAATGCAAGGTTTTCTGTCTGAGGTGTATTATACTATTTCTTACGCTGGCGAAAAAATAAGATTGATGTAATCCACTGGTGCGCTCACCCTTCATTTGTTTCGTCAGGCTGGTTCTCGATATAAACAATTGAATTGCGGACGATGACGTGGGGTTCACATATTGAACGTTAGATGGCGTGATTCCTAGAACTTATTATCAACATCAGTTCTACCAACCTTGATGCGGCTAAATCGCAAAATGTATTCCCTATCTTCATTGGTCACAATTTTCACATTGATGACTGTAATTTTGGTAGGGCACCACACTAAACTTAGCGGGATTCACCCACGCCATGTTATATTTATCGAAGTAGGCGAAAATCAAGGAATTGTTGAACATGAAAGGATTGAAGTGCGTACACCAGAGGTTTATTTCATCAATGCTGCGGCATACTGTCGTGTTGAAGTGAAGCTAATAAGTGACAGAAAGTACTGGAATAATTGAAGCAAATTTGAAGTTGACATTTGACATGAGGATATTGAAATGAAACATTCCAGAAGATACTTACACGGAACCAACGCACGTACACAAAAACTCCCGCTGAATAGGCAGGTGGTTTTCGGAACCCAGAGCTCTAGTCTATTGAGCTATTTGGAATCTATTGATACCAGACTAACAGAGGATCCTGGAGATGCGTTAGACGAAGTCTCGCTATTTTAGTAATAATAACAGTTGAGAAATGATTTTTTTTTCCAGATTTTTCACGAACTCATGGCTAAGTTATCTGGAGATGCAAACCCCCTCTTACTACATGTATTGATCATCTTTCTGAGTTCACGTAATGAAATCTCTATTTTAATATTTCACATGTTCTGTGGTCCTCCAACACTGTCCAAATACCTATACCAATATGTCGGTCGGTATTCAACCCGTTAACAACTGCTTGTAGAGAGGTGGATCAACGTAATTCAGAATGCAAAGACTAATTCGTTTCAGCTAAATAATATTATTACTAGCTAGAGTCCGACCAGGGGGCCAGGTTAACTTTGTTACACCACGTGATTCAACGCACATGCATATTCAATGCATTTGTGACCACGTGCTGTCCCAAAACTTCAAAGTTTGAAACCGTTTTTTACGAAGTGATTATTCAGAAAACACTACTTGAAACTAGTCGTAAGTTTTCATAACTTTGAATAAATCTTTTCGGTAACGAAGACCTCTCCAAGAGAATTTTACTGAAGCATTCAATTTTTTTTATTAACTGCTGAGGTATATCTACGACGTTGTCGCTACTTCATTCATCGTGTAGTAATTGTTTGAATTATTCGTCAATTATTTCTTGAAAGTAAATTTTACTTTTCAGTTGAAATAGTATATTGTTTAGTGATAGTGATTTTCCACGAGAATGAAGGTTGCGCAGCATGAGTGGTAAGCGAATGCTGCAATTTTTTTTATCGCTTGGAGCGCACGAAAGGGAATCCCTATAATATATACGAGTTGGATATTAGCATCCGTTCGAGTTACTCTCAATACTTTTTTTACGGCTGTAACAGATACAGCGAAATTTTTGAATTATATGGCTTGTAACCATCAACTTTTTTCTTGAGTAATGCCTATCTACAGGGTGGTCTGGTTTGTAATACAAAAAATTCAACTGTATGTTGTACTCGTTGAAATAATAAAAAAAGTTAGTATGTACATATTTTTAAACGCGTTGTTTTCGAGATATAGGGTGTTGGAAATACGAATCTAAATATTGTTTTTTATGAAAAGTTCGAAATGGTTTGAGATTCAATCAACAAAATTTCTCAGCCGATACTAAATCTTTTACGCTCTATAAAATGAAACAGTGAGCATAGCACTCTTGTTTTAATTTAAATCAAATATTATAATTGAACTAAAAATGTTACGATATTTCGGAACCGATTTAATTCGAAAATGGCAAAACGCTCACAAGTGAGCTTCTTCAGGCAGAGACCTATGTATTTTCAGGTTTTAAACCACCAATCAAGCAAGGAAAATTGGGGTGATCTTCACCACCTCCAGATTCAGCCACCACTGAATTACTTCATGAAACAATTTTTATTTCATCTTATAGAACGTAAAAAGTTTAGTATCTGTGAGAAATGTTGTTGATTCATCCCAAACCGTTTCGAACTTTTCAACAAAAACAATATTCAGACTCCAATTTTTAACACCCTATATCCAGGAAATGACGCGTTTTAAAGTATACGATTATGTAAACTTTTTCATCATTTCAACACAACACTGTAGATTTTTTGTAATACAAATCGGACCACCCTGCATATTAGAAAGAGCTGTCATTGCTTGAAATTTGATATTTCAAGCGAGATGTGATTTTTTTATACAATATTACAATGAAGTCATTGTGATATCAGATACGGACATGAAATTGGTGACATACAAAGTATCATCGAACACAGTGAAACAAGAACAATTCGGTATTATAGCAGGAGAAAATTACAGTCACCAATATCATTTTAGGTATTTTATATAACTGACAAGTCTCAAAGTACCTCTGAAAATTTATTTCCATAAGCAGCCATATTGTTTGAAGTGAGGTTGACTCGAACCAAATTGATTTCTTAGCTATTGTCAACATCATGAATAACTGATTATCAACAATAGTAGGCTCGTTCTATGAGAATGTTTTTTGTTGACACATTTTGAATTTCAAGATCAAATCATTAAATTCATCGATAAACTGGCTGTTATTTATATTGTTCATGTTATGTTCCACTATAAATGCTATAGTTGGAACATAGATTTGGAAGTTTTCTGAGAAAAATTGCCTTGTATCATAAGCATCATGTGCTTGATGTGGTGTAGTTTCAAAAGTTACAACGTTTTAACCAGCACATAAACTTGAGTTGAAATTCAAACTCTCAACATATAGGAACTCCTTATCTGATATCAAGATCCCTCAAAGTTTTATCGTGTTTTAGCTATAACTTCAAATTAGATCACTTTAATGAAGATTCTCAAAATCACGTGTTGAATTCTTCGAATGACCATAGCGTATTGTTTCGTTAATTTTTCAGGAAGTGAAATGGAGCTTTTGCTCACCATGTCATGGCTGATACTTGGAGGAGTGGCTCCGGGCTCCGGGAATCCGGACGCCAAAAGACTCTACGACGATCTTCTCTCCAACTACAATCGCCTCATCCGACCGGTCGGCAACAATTCCGACAGACTCACCGTCAAAATGGGCCTCAAACTCTCCCAGCTGATCGATGTGGTAAGTGTCTGGATGGTCTGAAGCATTTTTTTATGTTCTGGTTCCCACGAAGAGGGATATCCTGTAATGTTCAGAGAACATCGTGCGAACCAAAGGAATATTAGGTAGGAATTGGTGTTCTTTTTAAATTTATGGAGGTTATATGCCTCGAGGAACATATCCCTTGGCAATGTGTTCCAGAGCCTCGCTATTCGTTGAATGAACGAGTCTTTGGAAAGAGATGTTCTGCAGGTCTCCAAAGTGACCACGAAGGGGTGCGAAGCATCGTCGATGAAAATATCTATGAAATAGAGCCAGATTGACAACTTTTCTACGGTGTTCCAGAGAAGTGAGTGAGTTTGTGAGCAAGGCATCACCTACGAGACGAATTTCCCTTTTTTGGAAAGAATCCAACAGTTTCAGGGTATTTTTGGGTGCTGCACTCCAAATATGGGAACAGTATTCCAGGACAGGTTGGATATGTGCCTTATAGATCATAAGCAGCTGACTGGAAGTGAAATAGCTTCTGGCCCGAAACAGATGAGATTATTGAATTGAATTATTGGCATTCAATTACTCCACTGTGTCGTTAAGAACCCAAATCAATTTTCGCACTTTTCACGCTTTTTTATAGTGAATAATAGGTCTATGCGTTGTTCAAAATCGTTGAATTTCAGAGCTCATTCCAAAAGTAACGTCATGGCAGCAATTTGGCAATACGTCGAATAAATGGTGATGTCATCAGTTTTTATGCTGTTTCGTTATCGGTCAGATAATCTTCCATTTCCACTCATAAAGCAAAGTTGCCAAGTCACCTATTTTAATCGAGTCCTATCGTAGAATGAAACATAATATGAGGAACTCATGACATTATAGTTCATTCTTGACTTCTTCGAGCAGCCAGCATGTCCAAATATTTCTCATTCTCTATAACAAAATATCATGTGAATGTTGGAGACGTGGCAACATTGTGCTGAATGCTGAGAACTGACAAGACCACGCCCACGAGTCCTGAACTTGAATATTGAACTTTGTTTGAGTCAACAAGGTATTAACTGGTCAAGACTTGGGGTTGGACTGAGACTGTATACAATGTAGCCTATATAGAGTAAATCAGATAACAGAACACTTCAATATTTTTAAATTAATATTGGCTCAGAAACAATGCGAAGTGAGAAGAGCAATATCTATTAACCCTCAACAAGTTGGTATTATTCTGTTACCACAGACTAAAATCGAAACAATGTGGATCTTCAACATAACTTGTTTGAACGTAATTATCTAGAACGGTGTTGAAGTAAGAGTCAGTCAACGACATAGTGTCGAAAATTTAAGGAGTTTGATTAATACGCACTAGAATTCTTTGATTGATTCTTTAATGATTGTAAGTTACGGATTTCTAGGTATGCTTATCCATCAGTATAGTTGTAGTTCCTTCAGCTACAACAAATTGACCCTAAGGTGCTCTTTGGACTGGAGCCAACTATACAAAACTTTGCGTGCCCCCATGTTCTTTGTGAATATTTGCTATTCTTCATTGTGTAATGTACCTCACAATAATTAATAAGTTTATAATTATTAGTCGTGAGTTTCGAACATTTATGTGGTCAAAGATATACAGGGTCTCTATAAATGATCGTAAAATCGTAGTGGCTGTGGACATTTTTTTCCATTTGCCGCTTTCTACTAATGCTGTTAACAACATTTAACGACCAAATAGAGAGGAAGTGATCATATACATGATCTTTTTTTATATCTTTTTGCATACACTATGGAAATGTATCTCAAAGAAAGGAGAGTCCAAGTTTGAAAAATAATGGAACAAATCAAAAATATTTATTAAAGTGAAGTAATAAATAACGGTTTATTTCATTAACCTACATCGAATGTTCAAAATGTTCTCCGTTGTTCTCCAAGCATTTCGAAACTCTTCGCCATTTGTTGTCGAAAGTGTTCCTCGCAGCATTTCCGGGCCAATATTTTGGCAGCAATATGTTATTGAGGCTTGCAGCTCTTCAAGGTAATTATTGTCTCTCTTGAATACTTCGTCTTTCAAATATCCAAAAAGGCAGACATCTAAAGGCGTCAAATGTTGAGAACGTGTTGGAAAAGAAGGATCAACTCCTCGACTTATCACACGGTTGTCATAAATTTCTGGTAAATATTCTAAATTTGCACGTGTGGTGTGGGCTGTGGCCCCATCTTGCTGGAAATAGCCAACTCGAATATCTTCATCATCAAGTTGATTGGTGAATTGTTCTAACATCACTTGTCTTTACCTTTCACCCTTGATAGTGCAATCGAAGAAAATCGGCCCATATAGTCGCCTACGAGAAACTGCTAACCACACTCCAATTTTTTGAGAATGTAGTGGAGTCTCAATGAAATTGTGGGGATTCTCAGATCTCCAAAACCTGAAATTTTGTGAGTTCACGTATTCCGACAAATGAAACCAAGCCCCATCGCTGAAAAATGTTAGGTCCAATAGCTGGTCATCGTTGAGATTATTTTGGAACCATTGACAGTACTCCAGACGACGTGGGATATCTATTGGCAGAAGTTGCTGTAGTACACTGGTCTTGTAAGGGTGCATATGCAATCTTTTCTTGAGCACTTTATGGCATAGTAAGTGGCACACCAGATTGTAAAAATAATCTCTTCAATCACGTTTGGGGATTTTGCTCAACATGCGCCCTTAGATTTTCGACAGCTTCTTCCGATATTTGGGACCTTCCTGTTGATTTCTTTTTATTAACGTTTCCAGTTTGGATGAATCTGTTGGTCACTGTTCTGATTTGGGATTTCAAAGAAGATTCTTGAATCTGTACATTAGGATATTTCGCCAGGTACTCATCCTTGCAGGCTACTACCGAGTATCTCCATCCACCATTGATGAATGTGCCATTTCGACACTAAGGCATTACAATAAATGTATGCTGCTCCGAGGAATAAGCCATCCCTCTCTTCAACACGACAATCACGAAGTAGAACAGAATCGTTTGAAAATTTTAACAAAAAACTGACAATTGTGAGTTTATCAGCTATGATAGTATAATGATTGATGTCAGAAATTAAATTCGAATGTGTGAATCTCCATAAATGAAAGGCGACAAATGGAGAAAATATTTCAACGGCTACTACGATGTTACGATCATTTATAGAAACCCTGTATTATTATTTTGAAAAAGTAGGTTTTTCCATTTTTCGTCATACGCTATTTGTGCAGATGTTCATAAGTTGTTTTATGCGAGTGGTCCTCGTGAATTATTGTCGATTTGGTTGCGGTTCTACAGATTTCCTCAGGATGTGAAAATATATCCGCTAATGAAATAGACAAAATGAATCTTTTCAACTTCAGTTAGTCTGATGATTCGCCAGGAATGAGACAGGCAAAAGTGTTTATTAAAAAACCATCGCCAACATTCACAGAATACCTATTGAGCCAGAAACGAAGTACAACTAGAATACTAGTGGGACTTCTCACAGGGCATTGTAGGCTCAACAAACACATGAGTACGATAGGTCTGACTAAAGAACTGCTGTGCAGGTTCTGTCAGGAAGAGAAGGAAACAGCAATACACATACTTTGCCACTGTGAGAGCTTGTGAAAACTAAGGTTCCTTATGCTGGGTGAGGAAAAACCAAGAGCCCAATGTTACACAGATGATCTGAAGTCTAGCCTATGGAGTCTTATACAGAAGGCGGGGCTATACCCGAAGAACTCTCAACGATTATGAAGGCAGACACAATCGATCTGAAGAGGTCGCAGTGTGGAGGTAGATAGCCCGAAGGCCTCACTCTAAATCTAAACTGATGTTAAATCTCTTGATGCGTTAAAAAATGGATGATTGAATGCTACTACTGATAGGTTTTCAAATGAATTTTAAGAGAGGCAGGGACAAAGACGGCGTTGAAAGAAATAAGTAAATATACCGGTCTGTAGATTTCTAGCGTGGCCTGGCTAAATAGAAATCAATAGGCATTCAGGAAAGATTCACTTGTATCAGTCTTCGTTTATACGAGTCGATGCAACTCAATGTTCTGCGTGGCATAAACCAGGAAAGTAGTTGTTTTTCTCCCGAAATCTACCATTATTGTTCATCTTATGAACATTGTGTAGATATGACTTTGAGCTTCTTGATATTTATTTATAAAAATTTATTATTTTTTTACAGAATCTCAAGAATCAAATTATGACTACCAACGTTTGGGTCGAGCAGGTAATAGAGCATGGTGTGGAAGTCAGTTGTGAATCAGTGTGATTTTTAGGAATGGAACGATTACAAGCTGAAGTGGAATCCTGATGACTATGGCGGAGTAGAAACACTGCATGTTCCTTCTGAGCACATATGGCTTCCAGATATCGTTCTCTATAATAAGTAAGCATGCAATTTAACTGTCCAAACATTTTCCATCCAGAATATCGAATTGTTGCAAAAAATGACTCCTAAATCTTGTTTTTAGTGCGGACGGCAATTATGAAGTGACGATAATGACCAAAGCAATTCTTCACCATACCGGTATGGTAAAGTGGAAACCCCCTGCCATTTATAAATCATTTTGCGAAATTGACGTCGAATATTTTCCTTTCGACGAACAGACATGCTTCATGAAATTCGGATCATGGACGTACGATGGATACTTGGTAAGCATTTTTCATCATATCAGGTTTAAATTTGGGGCAAGTGGAACCCAGGCTGATTATCATTACATTTTTGTCTGTAAGGTGACTCTGTCTATCGCATAAAGCACCGAGCTATATCCCCTTAACTCACTGTAATATATCAAGCTACCAATCCAAGAATTACGGTTCGACTTTGCCGATATTCGGGGTCGATATGTTTTGAAAAATTGTGATTCATGTGAATATTTCATTTTGCCTAGAAATCAGTATTGAAACTTATAGGAACCAATGTAGTGCAATAATGAAGTCGCAGATCTGTATGATGTTGAACTAGGAATATGAGTTGACATGGTTTGACAGCGGTTTATTGATGTGTGATTTGATCAAAGAAATACTTCAAATATACGACCAAGAAGTATACAGTGTGTCCCACTTACCATGCTCACTATGGGTATCTTTTAAACGGTGAGAGATACGAGGTCGGTTAAATGACACCAAATGTGGAGTTTGTCAAGGCCAACTATTATGTGAAAAAATATTTTGATAAAATCTATTCGTTTTTGTTTTATCCGCAAAAAACAGATGTTGATCATTTTCTTGTCTCCTCCGTAACTTCTTTATTCATGAAAATATTCGAATAGGAATTTCACATTCTCATGGCAGTTTTTCAAAGTGATTTCGAAAAAAATATGAAATTCATACCAACTCTTCTAGAATTTGAGATATCAGCACCAACTTCAGTTTTTCAAATGTAGGTCATAGCATATGACTTAGTTACAAATAACTTTTATTTCTCTTACAGATGATATGTCGCAGTAATAGTTTTGTGTTGATAACAACGGAGTTATCGTCATTTATACAAAAACAAAACATTATTTGGAAGCCGCCATCTCGAATTTATAGATTTTAACAAAAAAATCATGATCTCCGACCTCAAAAACCCCCACTTACCAATTTTGAATGGAATCGGACCAAATCTTGTCCACCATCTTGGAGCAGCCGTTTTTTTTAATTTCAACAAAAATTCCATAACTCCTATTAACTTGAAATTTGGCAGGTGTTCATAATTTCGGTGACAATACATTATGGATTTTTTGTTGAAATTGAAAAAAATGGCTGCTCCAAGATGGCGGACACGATTTGGTTCGATTCCATTCAAAATTGGTAAGCGGGGGTTTTTGAGGTCGGAGATCATGATTTTTTCGTTAAAATTTATAAATTCAAGATGGCGGCTTCCAAATAATTTCTTGTTTTTGTATGAATGACGATAACTCCGTTGTTATCAACACAAAACTATTACTGCGACATATGTAAGAGAAAAAAGAATTATTTGTAACTAAGTCTTAGTGAGCTATGACCTACATTTGAAAAACTAAAGTTGGTGCTGATATCTCAAATTCTAGAAGAGTTGGTATAAATTCCATATTTTTTCGAAATCACTTTGAAAAATTGCCATGAGAATGTGAAATTCCTATTTGAATATTTTCATAAATAAAGAAGCTACGGAGGAGACATGAAAATGATCAAAATCTGTTTTTTGCGTATAAAACAAAAACGAATAGATTTTATCAAAATATTTTTTCACATTATTGTTGGCCTTGACAAACTCCACATTTGGTGTCATTCAACCGACTTCGTATCTCTCGCCGTTAAAAAGATACCCATGGTGAGCATGATAAGTATGGGACACACTGTATGTTGTGATTCACCAATGTATGAACCTAACTATCGAATGAAATTGTCTAGAAAAATGTAGATTCAGTTTGTTTTTATAATGAGATTTTTTATTCTGAACAAATTCTGAATAAATGGAGTGTTCTGTGATTATTGAGCTGATGTTATAAACTATCAGGAAATAAGGAAATTTGATCGAAATTTCCGCCTGCGACCATCTTTCTGTTCGCTTCGTTCGCTATAGCGACTTCTAGCGGTTTTTTCCGTAATTTTTTGCTATATTACATGTTCAGTAGTTGACAACACTGTGGATATTTTGAATAGTGTCCATTTACGTCGCATACCGCTTCAAAAATATATTCAAAATGTTTGAAGTGAGTCGCTCAAAAACAATACGTCTTTGTATTTTGAAGGTATGAAGGACGTATATTTGTTCACATGGAGGAAAAAAAGGCTCCACTTGCCCCTTGAAAATAACGTGAAGGGAAAAGTATAACCATGTGTAACCTAGAGTCACTGGATGGCAAACTAAGACCATCCAGTGACTCTGTAACCTATGTTAGGTTCCCCTTGCCCATGTTGTATCGTGCATTGAATATTCGTGATCTTCAAATGCAAAGTCGATACATTTCTTCCAGACATGGTGCATAAGTACGTACGGAAGAAAACGCCACAGGAATACTCCAAGCATATAGTCTCAGTTACACTTGCTCCATGGATATGGGGCAATTGTAACTTAAGTACCGCTATAATTAGAAAAAATGTAGATCAAAGATTTGAACACTTATCTCCTTTTACATTTCCAGATCCTTATATTAATAATTATTCATCAGTGAGCTGACGTGATTGGAACGAGAATGACCCATTATAATCATTATTTTTTTTAGTTTATAGCGGAGCTATTGAAATTCGCGGTTCCACTTAACCCGTATACCTTACCAATAATTCGATATTACCATTCGAGAGCACTTCTTGCATGTTCTCTTTCTATCTATAAAATAGATTATTAGTGTAGTAGTGAGTTTACCCCAACTCCTGAAGGTATTTAACTGCATATTCATAAGGATGACTCAATTCCTATATTGCAATATCAACACCTAGAAGGTAAAGCGGTGACCTGCTGTGTTATCTTTGAAACTTACGATTCGAGCTGATGTAGAAGACAGGATTATAAATTCAGGATGTATAATTTAGTGTGAAAAGGTTCAGAGACGGGCAAATGGGCTCTGCAACGAAATAGCGCGTAACAAAACAGCGCGTGACAAAACAGCGCGAACAAAACAGCGCGTTACAAAACAGCGCTGTAACAAAACAGCGCGTAACAAAATAGCGCTGTAACAAAATAGCGCTGCAACTAAATAGCGCTTATTCCAAAATGATTAAAAATCATGAAGAGCATATTCCATTCAACTCTTCATTGGACTATAACAAACACGTCTTTGAACATGAAAATCAAATACTCAAGTTGTAGGCAATAGACTGCAAGTAATCTTCAATTTGGTCGAAGTTATAATTTCTCACTAATCTTTCAAGTCTTTTGTTGAGCTGCACATATTTGCTATTATTTTCCATTCCATGTCTGAAGCATCATTTGAAGCGTGTGATGAAAATTTCAGCCTGATTCTGTTCTTTCTTCAGATGATTAATCAATTTATGAAGCGATGGATGATGGCAATCCGATGAATGTTGAAACGAATTGTGCCAAGCTTTCACAGAGTTATTTGTTCTAGGCAAATTTTTTTGTATGCGTTGAAATAAATTCCAAGTAGGAACGAGCTTTCAATTTTATTAGTTTTCTTCCTACGTAATTTATCTCCCAATATTCCAACAATGAAGCGAATTCTTCAGAGGATGAGGAATCCTGATTATGTGCGATTGCATCAAATACTCGTTGGACGTCAACTTCAGGAACAAAACTCAATGCTAGAAGCATCTTGAAGCGAGCTCTAAAACTTTCATCTGATCTGTATGTTGTGGTGAGTTTTGATTGTTGTATTTTTCTCCACAAATTTTGGGAAATATGAAACAAACAACCAACAACTCCAGCGTTCGGAAATGTACTTTTTTCAAATTGAAACATCGAATGACGTATATCTATGGTAATTTTCGGTAATTTCTTTTTCACAGCAACGACGGAACGACTTACTCACATGATAGGTTATTGGATAATCAATCACTGATAGATAGGTATAATGGCTGATGAGATATGTTTGAGATGCGAAAACATTTAAACATTTGAAATAACAAACGGAAATGAGCGCTACTTCAGAACGCGCTATATTGTTACAACGCTGTTTTGTTACAGCGCTATTTTGTTACGCGCTGTTTTGTTACAGCGCTGTTTTGTAACGCGCTGTTTTGTTCGCGCTGTTTTGTCACGCGCTGTTTTGTTACGCGCTATTTCGTTGCAGAGCCAACTGCATCACTCACAGGAATCTCTGCTCACAGGCTAACAAAGTTGAAGAAAGAATAACGTTCAGGGACATACTTATATTCCGCAGGTCTTTATAAGTATTCAAAAATCTGATGAGTTTTCTCCTGAAGATGTAGATGTAGTTTTCTCATAGTCTATCAAAAAGCGGAAAAAGAAGCTTGGGTTCTGTGACAATTCCATCCTGATGTACAAAATTATTATGTTGTATGTCGTCGAATATCTTTTTGCAATGAGACTGCGAGCAATAAAGTATTCATCTAATGGCACGAAACCCATTTGTTTCAATAATGTGGCACTGAAATGTTATTAGCGCCGAAAATCGATTTTGTTTCCAGAGCATACTCCGTTGTTTTCAGGTTGATTTACGGCATCTCCAGCAAGTCCAAGACTCCAATAAAATCGACGTCGGCATCGACTTGCAAGATTACTACATATCAGTGGAATGGGACATCATGAAGGTACCCGCAGTCCGGAACGAAAAATACTACAGCTGCTGCGAAGAGCCCTACCCAGACATCATCTTCTACATCACGTTGCGCAGGAAAACGCTCTTCTACACCGTAAACTTGATCATTCCGTGCGTAGGGATCAGCTTCTTGTCCATCTTGGTGTTTTACCTGCCTTCAGACTCGGGAGAAAAGGTTTCTTTGTCCATTTCGATTTTGCTGTCGCTCACCGTGTTCTTTTTGCTGCTGGTGGAGATCATTCCGCCTACTTCCATTACAGTGCCTCTTCTAGGTGAGTTGTACCTTTTTTATGACAATATTTAGTGAATTGAACCTACCACAAAGAAAAACTGTTTCGGAACAAACGTGATTCTGATCGTGTGCGTTAGAATGAAAAATTTTGACACTGCTGCCGTCTGATAAAAAAGCTCGTTCGAGAATAATTTGTTACATCCAGTATTACTCTCGAATAAAAAATGATGTAGGGTTGCATGGACCTTCACCATGACACGATCCAGATCTTCCTCAAAGAATGCGACCAGTACCGGCAGTACCTAGATCATAGTGCGATATTCTTTCGTTCTGAAATAACTGAAAGATTCTACTAGAACTGAGAAGAATCAATTAACATGAAGTCTGCATATCAACAGCATTTGCAGTTCAGTTCAAGTGAAATATTTTAATTAGTTCAGACACTGAAAAAAGATCATACATGTTTGAGGGTAACTCAGATATGGTACATCTTATTGATAGTTGCTTCCACCATTTCACGAAATAGGAGATGGTTATTCCATCATAACAATTTATAAAGGGTTTGCCTGGCTCACCTAATGGTTTACGAGTGGTAATATTCAAATAGGCAATAATAGTTTAGGGGTAGCTGAAAAAACGAGATTATATCCGAACAAAACAATATTTACTACAGCATGAAACATTTATGGGTAGTGTGGTAGTGATGAGGTATAAATAAATGACAATTAATATAATGAAAACCTGATAACAACCTCTGAGTATTTAACAACCAATATTATTATGACCATATTGACGAGTTCTCTCGTCAAGTCAAGAGTAACCCCAGAGAAGGCAATGCTAACTTTGGATCCCTCACATCAAATATCTGTATACATTTCATTAGACTTGCACATTTCTCATGAGAGTTCCTTGGTCAGTATTCATAGTTCAAAGTCAACGGACGATGTGATCAACTCATTTTTTATAAAACTTTATATCTTATTCTTCCGAAATAAGCAGAAAGATGAACGAAAAAGTCATAAAATGCAGTTGTAACGGTGTTCAAGCGATCCATTTCATACTTGCCAACATTGGACACTCAAGTTAATCACAAAAATCAGAAGGCACTGTCGATTCCATATGCTTCCAGGTAAATATTTGCTCTTCACCATGTTGTTATGCACCCTTTCCGTTGTCATCACCATCGCAGTTTTGAACGTCAACTTCCGCTCGCCGGTCACCCACAAGCTGGCACCGTGGGTGAAGACTTTCTTCATCGACTTCCTGCCGAAATTCCTCTTCATCCAACGGCCGCGCAAAGAGGACGACGACAAGAGCCAGGACAGCATGCTGACCGACGTCATCCAGATGCCCATGATGGAAAAGTGCAAGCCCTTCGAGAAGTCTTCGTTCGACAGCTTCGATTTGAGTCTTCCACCGCCTAGGTGAGTGTACTGACCTCTATTAACAACGAATTGAAGGACATTGCTCGTTTCCAGTTTACGATAAATTGAACTTGCGCATACCACGTGATCAACTTGAAAGAATTGGTTGACAATAAGAATGCGGTGGCATGGGTTGCGTGCTAAAACTGTCAGCTGACCGATCCTAGGGGGTGAAACATGAAACACAACCTCACTTTTCTTATTTGTTCACAAAATATTGAAAATCGAAATAGTTTTTCACGATAATTTTGGCATACGAGTCGTGTTTTTCGGCTATTCATTGATTCAATAATGCCATCACATTGAGCTGTTGTACAATGCACAAAAAATGCAGCGGTAGACGAAGAAATACGATTTTTCAGGTGGGTACATTGTGATCGAAAAGGACTATAGTCAGTCACCTATAGTTTTCGTTTTGAAATTTTGTCATTTATCAATTCTCATTGGAATTCCTTCTGCAAAATGAGCTAATAGAAATACTCGTGAAGTTTCTGAAAGAAAACAAGAAGAGAGATGTATAGAAATTCATGCAATCAAACGGTAGGACAGGTCCGACATGCTGACGAAATAAAATCGTGTGTGTTGTAGACATTTTCACTCCATTATAACTATTAATTAGCTTGTATTGCAGAAGTGGCAGAAAGAATTCTAATGAGAAATACAATTTCATAATCAAAACTATGTGAGATCACTATTTACCTGAAAAATCGGATTCCTTCGTCTCTTGCTGCATTTTTTGTGCATTGTACAACAAGCACAATGTGATGGCATGCTTGAATTGATAAATAGCCCAAAAAACACGAATCGTATGCCATAATATTGTTAAAAAATATTTCAATCTCTTGATTTCTTTAGAAAAGTGAGGTTGTGTTTCAATGTTCTTCAGAAAAGTGAGGTTGTGTTTCAAAGTTTCACCTCCAGGGTCAAACATCGTTCATGCGACCCATCATCATTGTCTGCAAAAAATGGAGAAGAAATCTAGTGAGCTGGAACTACCCAGCTCACTAGATTTCTTCTCCATATTTAGCAGACAATAATGCGACCTATAGGCTTCTACTTTGGCGAGCCACCCTTCCAGCTGCCGCTGTCGGCAAGCGATGAGGACCTGTCCAGTATACAAGTAACGAAAGTCATGGTTATTTGAATTCTAGCAATTGTTTCTTCATTCAGGTTCGAAGTCGCCCATGAGCACAGCGGCGGCGGCATAGGCTCCTGCTTTGGCGAACCGCCCTTCCCGCTGCCCCTCTCGGCGGGTGACGAAGACTTATACAGTCCCGCCAGCTGTCGCACCAACACCTTCGATGGTGCCAGCGACATCAGCCCCTCGTTCGACAAAATCGAGATACACGACATGGAGAAGACCATCGCCGATTCCAGATTCATTGCTCAACACGTTAGAAATAAGGATTCATTCGAAAATGTAAGATGAATGACCGACTAATCGAGGTTATACAGTGTGTCCAGTTTTCGATACTTTTGTGCGATATATCAGTTGTCTTTGGAGATAGAGAGTTGCGGTTTTCAAATGACTATCTTACTTTTTTGTGAAACGGACAATGCCACAAACAGAATTGTCAGGGTGAAATTGAAAATTGAAATTGAAAATTCTCATTTTTTGAGCACCATCCGTATCTTGGTTAGTATCCAACTTATTGGCAAGGTGAGAACGGGATCTTGTATAACTTTTTACGCATAATACAGTGTTGTCAGGGTGAAATTGAAAATTGAAATTGAAAATTCTCATTTTTTGAGCACCATCCGTATCTTGGTTAGTATCCAACTTATTGGCAAGGTGAGAACGGGATCTTGTATAACTTTTCACGCATAATACAGTGTCGTACTCATTCTGTTGCCTTAATGGCTCATTTTCAGAAATTGAAGCCAACATTTTCTTTCTGAGATGGGACACCCTGTATATTTCTTCACATTTCGATTCAGATTTTTTTCGGCTTTCCGAAAATATATAATAGTTGAAATTTTTCTATATTATTGATGTTTTAATTCGAAGATATTCTCTTACTATGCATTTCGCCCTGTACCACGCCTAACTCTCTTTCACATATAACGGTAGTAGTGGGGATGACTAATACCAAGGATTACCGTAAAACGGGTTTACTTTGCGTCTCCAGGTAACTTTGCCATAAGTTCGTGAATTTTTTTTTCATTTTTATGTTATGGTTCCCACGAAAAGGGATATCCTGAAATGTTCAGAGAACATCGTGAGAACCAAGGGAAATAAGGTGAGAATTGGTGTTCTCCTATTTCTGGAGGTTATATGCCTCTGGGAAAACATCCCTTGGCAATGCGTTCCAGAGCTTAGCTGTTTGTTGGATGAACGAGTCTTTGGATAGAGATGTTCTGCAGGTCTCCAAAGTTGTTAATACTAAATGGGCGTGACTTCTCGTGATGATTTTTCAGGATCATCCGTTAGTCTGGTATAAATAGATTTCAGATGCTCAATAGGCTGGAGCTCCAGGTGCCGAAAACCACCTGCCTATTTCGCGGGAGTTTTTGTATACGTGCTACAGTTGGTTCCGTCAGTGTTTTCTGGAATGTTCAATTTCATTATATCCATGGTAGTGACCTCAACATGCCTATATAACAATAAGAATATATTATCGATAACTTGACGTTTTCAATTTCGACGTTACTTTGCTATACAATAAATCACGTGGTGTTTAATCGCTCTTAGAAAAACATCTTTGAAAGTCTGGAATAGGATGCAATAAGACCACCTGTATAGTCAATCAGTCTTATCCCAGTAAACACATACTCCTTTATAAAACGTTGAGTAACGGTTGTAATCGTGGAAATAACGTTATAAGTTGGAAACGTCAACGTTTAAATTCGGTTGAAGCAAACGAGAAATCAACACGTAACTCAGACGTTCCATTCCCAACAGTTCAATATATCATGTTGATTTACAACCACTATTAAACGTTAAAGCAAAACGTTGATACTTTCAAGCAAATATTGTTTATTTCAACGTTTGGAATCCACATACTCCTAACTTTTGGAGTACTTGATACGTTGTTCAATCGTAATCTGATGATGTTGAGAATACGTTAAATATTACTCATTTGAAAACGGCTATTATGTCAAAAACAATTATTCGAAATCATATGAGTAGTTGAAAAGATGTTTGTGTACTGTGCAGAAACAACGTGTATCGTGTATGTCAGCGACATTTTTGCGTTATACATTCAATCAAACGTTCTGGTAATTTCACAACGTTATTTCGACACAGGTGTGTTAACTAGAACAATACAGGCTCATATTATGTTGCATGAGATATACTCTTCTGAACGTATATGGATCTTCTAGATTTTATTATGAACCCGCGAACTCAACTGATACTGTACACTTTTGGCGAACCTATATTATCCTGATTATCATATCATCTAATCATTTGAATTTATCATCATGTTTTGTTTCAGGTGGAAGAAGATTGGAAATATGTCGCAATGGTTTTAGATCGTCTTTTTCTGTGGATATTTACATTGGCATGTATTGTTGGAACGGGTATAATCATTCTCAATGCCCCTTCGCTGTACGATACGGCCAAACCAATTGATGTTCTCATTTCGAAAGTTGCCAAGAAGAAAATGGCCCTACTCAAGATGGTTCCCGAGGAACTTTAGAGATAGGGGATATGGTCGTTGGTAAATTTAGTGAAAATAAGCAATTTTTTGCGAATGAGCATCCGTCAGGAAACGTTTCAATTTTCGATTTTCCTCTTATTTCAAGGATATTTCATTTCCAAATCGCTACCATAATATATAATTTCACATTCAGTGGCTGGATGTTGGAAAACTATACTTATTATTATATTCAACATTCGCAATTTACCTACTCAAAATTATTATATTTCTTCGGAAGCAATTTCACAATCACTTTGAGTAGATATGAAAAACAATTGAAACATTTTTTAGTCGAGCCTTTGGTTTCTGGATTCTCATTGGCTGGAAATTGTGCATTATTGAACACTAACAAGTACATACGGAATGTTGAATTTTCCACGGTCGCCGTTGCGAGAACGATGATAATCACTAATAATAGTCATGTTACGTTATGTAATTGATAAATCAATAATAATGTTAAAGCTATTTCATTTATATTGTATGAGACTACTGTAGAATAGCCGAACTAATAATAATACATCTTTTCCATCAAAATTTGTTAGTTTGTTTCTTTTACAAATCCCACAGATTCCAGTACCTACCCTATATACCCATCACTGTGGATACGCCTCTGCTTCCTGGTATCGGGCCAGGGACCGTAACATGTGTGTCGGCTTCATTCTGTTCTGACCTCATTAGGATGGTGGTGAATGATGAAGGATGGTATCGTTGACTTTGGCCGATAGTGAGTCAACTGATTCAATGATGTTTCCGTTCAGGAATTCAGGTGCTATCTCAATTAATATAAAATCGCTCATTACCTGTCATAATGAAGCCAACACCCTTCTACAGTCCTGCCTAAACACCGATTCTTCTACCGTTGAACTGGCATTGACTAGCACACGACATGACACAAAACATGGCAGCTGGAACAGGGATTCCACAGTAGAAAAAAAATTCTAGTTTCTCGAGAGTTTTTCACCTGCCTGTGTAGTTTTAAAACTCTGAAGTCCGACATTCATTTAGCATCATCTAGCTATACAAAACGAAAACTGGGGTACAAGGTTGTTAGAGCTGAGGATTATTTATACAAATTATCATCATTTATACCAACGTCGCTGAGGTACTTTGCTGGGATATATTGAGTGCGCCATGCAGTAGAGGTGCAGGGATATCAACAATTCACTGCACTAGGGATTCACAGACGACTTTTCCGTGATTTCGGGTATCACGACTTCGCTAGTTGGGAAGCAACTATTTTTCCGCATCGGCAAGCGGCAACGGCAATGGTCTGAAAATGCATTTACCATAAGGATATTTCATTCACATCAACCGTCATGGTTGAAGCTGCTAATCCCAATTCGCGATAGAAAATAATCGTACGCCTCCTATCGAAGTTCTTGAAAGCTGTCAAAGCGGCATGTTTACTTTGTTTTCATTGATTCACATTTGTTTTTTGCTTATGCTCATTGCTCAAATCATCAAAAGAAACCGCTAAGAAGTGTTCAAGTTGTTGCCGTCAGGTAGAAAGACGTGTTATTTTCTATGGTGAATTCCATTTCATTGTGTTCAAATGTGACGTCATTTCCGTTTGGGTACAACCCCCCTACCTGCCCCAGGGTTTGCCAACTCTATAGGTGGTGACGTAAAAATAGTATTCGAAACATCATTTGGTATATCGAAGACTGGAACCTTTGGCTATCGTGCGATTAAAACTTAATCTTCTCCTGAAGATCGATGCTAACATAGTTAGCGAAACACGTGTCGAGGCGTTAAAAAATCGGTTTGGTTAGTGGTAAAACAGTGTAGTGTATCATTTGGTATGATTCTTTTGATGAAATCTCTGGAAGAATGCTCCTATGCGACTTCGTGGAATTGGTCCTTATGAGTTGTTTTGATGTAGTCTGTCAGCATTTCCTTCATATCTGAAAATTCTATCGAATCACTAACATGGATGTTGAAATGTCTTAAAACTTCTATGATCTCGCCTTCGCTCAACTGCTCCATATAATATCACGTCGGGGTCACCAAATTGTGGATACAATTGATAAAAATTATGAGACTTCGAGTTGCAATTATATTATAAAAATGTCACATCAATGTCAGACTATCAAATCATAATATACCAAGTATATAACAAAACTAGTCACCATAAGTATACTCTGGTCAGTTCACTTTGTGAATCTTCTGTTCGGTTCGTATGGACTAGATGGTTTTCTTCGATTGAGTGACAAGTATCAAATACCGCTTCTCTGATCTGCAACAGATCATTACATATCAATCGACGTACATTCATATCAGAAAATAAATATTATTAGATGAATCAAATGGATGTTGAATCTGAGACATACCTGAATAATATATTCAACGTCCGTAACTGGATTGCTACATATCAGCTTTCTTTCCGAATAGTGTTTTTCCAGTTGGCATCTTTCACATTTTCTATTACGTACGTGGGTTATATTAAGGTCCTTGAAGGCCAAACGATGTGCTGCTCGGATCTAAAACTAAGGATTACTTTCAAATTTGAATCGTGAGACCTACATAGAATATTGGATATTGTTTTCAACATTCGTAACTGGAACGCGATATATTTTTGTAATCAATCAACTATCTCAATGAAGACGAGACAGGCAGATAAACAACAATTTCCTCTGCAATGAAGAACACTGTATATACCTAACCCACCATGCGCCTACCTCCTTTGCAGAGAGGGTTTATAAACGCCGAGTTGATACTCTCCCCTCGTAAGGGTACCTGTCGTGTTTCCATAGAGACATAAAGGTGAATATCTGTCTTATCTGATGTTTTCTTGAGAATCTGGAAAGGATATCAATATATTGCCTTCCGTACGAATATAATGATCTGAATTTTGTAAAGTATACTCTGGTCATGTTCTCTTTGCGGATCTTCTGTTCGGTCCGTATTTACTGAATGGTTTTCTCCGATTGAGTGGCAAGTATCAAACACTGCTTCTTGGATCTGCAACTGAACATCACATTTAAATCGAAGTACATTTATATCAGAAAATAAATATCATTAGATGAATTAAATGGATGTAGAATCTGAGACATACCTAAATAATATATTCAACGTCCGTAGCTGGATTGCTACATATCCACTTCCTTTCCGAATAGTGTTTTTTTGCAGTATCTTCCACATTTCCAATTACGTTCGCGGGTTTCCATATAGACATAATGGTGAATATCTGTCTTATCTGTTTTCTTGAGAAACGATATCAAAATATTGCCTACCGTACGAATATAATGATCTGAATTCTGTAAAGTATACTCTGGTCAGTTCTCTTTGCGGATCTACTGTTCGGTCCGTATTTACTGAATGGTTTTCTCCGATTGAGTGGCAAGTATTAAACACTGCTCCTTGGATCTGCAACTGAACATCACATTCAAATCGAAGTACATACATATCAGAAAATGAATATCATTAGATGAATTAAATGGATGTTGAATCTGAGATATACCTGAAAAATATATTCAACGTCCGTAGCTGGATTGCTACATATCCACTTTCTTTCCGAATAGTGTTTTCTGCAGTAGGCATCTTCCACATTTTCAATTACGTACGCGGGTTATATTGAGGACCTTGAAGGCCAAACGATGTGCTGCTCGGATCTAAAACTAAGGATCACTTTCAAATTTGAATCGTGAGACCTACATAGATAATTGGATATTGTTTTCAACATTCGTAACTGGAACGCGATATATTTTTGTAATTCATCAACTATCTCAATGAAGACGAGACAGGCAGATAAACAACAATTTTCTCTGCAATGAAAAACACTGTATATACCTAACCCACTATGCGCCTACCTCCTTTGCAGAGAGGGTTTATAAACGCCGAGTTGATACTCTCCCCTCGTAAGGGTACCTGTCGTGTTTCCATAGAGACATAAAGGTGAATATCTGTCTTATCTGTTTTCTTGAGAATCTGGAAAGGATATCAATATATTGCCTTCCGTACGAATTTAATGATCTGAATTCTGTAAAGTATACTCTGGTCAGTTCCCTTTGCGGATCTTCTGTTCGGTCCGTATTTACTGAATGGTTTTTTCCGATTGAGTGGCAAGTATCAAACACTGCTTCTTGGATCTGCAACTGAACATCACATTTGAATCGAAGTACATTCATATCAATAAATAAATATCATAAGATGAATTAAATGGATGTCGAATCTGAGACATACCTGAATAATATATTCAACGTCCGTACCTGGATATTCACTTTCTTTCCGAATAGTGTTTTTTGCAGTAGGCATCTTCCACATTTTCAATTATTATGAACGCGGTATATATCAAGGACCTTGAAGGCCGAACGATGTGCTGCTCGGATCTAAAACTAAGGATCACTTTCAAATTTGAATCGTGAGACCTACATAGAATATTGGATATTGTTTTCAACATTCGTAACTGGAACGCAATATATTTTTGTAATTCATCAACTATCTCAATGAAGACGAGACAGGCAGATAAACAACAATTTTCTCTGCAATGAAGAACACTGTATATACCTAACCCACCATGCGCCTACCTCCTTTGCAGAGAGGGTTTATAAACGCCGAGTTGATACTCTCCCCTCGTAAGGGTACCTGTCGTGTTTCCATAGAGACATAAAGGTGAATATCTGTCTTATCTGTTTTCTTGAGAATCCGGAAAGGATATCAATATATTGCCTTCCGTACGAATATAATGATCTGAATTCTGTAAAGTATACTCTGGTCAGGCCTCTTTGCGGATCTTCTGTTCGGTCCGTATTTACTGAATGGTTTTTTCCGATTGAGTGGCAAGTATCAAACACTGCTTCTTGGATCTGCAACTGAACATCACATTTGAATCGAAGTACATTCATATCGGAAAATAAATATCATCAGAGATGAATTAAATGGATGTCGAATCTGAGACATACCTGAATAATATATTCAACGTCCGTACCTGGATATTCACTTTCTTTCCGAATAGTGTTTTTTGCAGTAGGCATCTTCCACATTTTCAATTATGAACGCGGTATATATCAAGGACCTTGAAGGCCAAACGATGTGCTGCTCGGATCTAAAACTAAGGATCACTTTCAAATTTGAATCGTGAGACCTACATAGAATATTGGATATTGTTTTCAACATTCGTAACTGGAACGCAATATATTTTTGTAATTCATCAACTATCTCAATGAAGACGAGACAGGCAGATAAACAACAATTTTCTCTGCAATGAAGAACACTGTATATACCTAACCCACCATGCGCCTACCTCCTTTGCAGAGAGGGTTTATAAACGCCGAGTTGATACTCTCCCCTCGTAAGGGTACCTGTCGTGTTTCCATAGAGACATAAAGGTGAATATCTGTCTTATCTGTTTTCTTGAGAAAGGATATCAATATATTGCCTTCCGTACGAATATAATGATCTGAATTCTGTAAAGTATACTCTGGTCAGGTCTCTTTGCGGATCTTCTGTTCGGTCCGTATTTACTGAATGGTTTTTTTCCGATTGAGTAGCAAGTATAAAACGCTTTTGGGATCTGCAACTAAACATCACATATCAATCAAAGTACAATTAAATCAGAATATTAATATCATCTGAGACATACCTGAATGATATTTTCATCATCCGTAACTGGATCGCTAC